AATACTCTTACTAGTAAAATTACTTGTGTTTTCATGCCTTGAGGAAATTTAATTATTCATTTAATTCTACTGTTCCATGTAGTCTAAAAGCTCGGTGCTCACTCCATTTTCAAAACTGGAGAGTGTTCTGAAAAGAGGGGAATACAGGGAACATATACGGCACACATCGACACGATAAAGTATATACCTAAATTATTGGGACCGTCTGAACTTTCAAGATGCACTCTCTAGAAAAGAGGCGAGAGAGATGTCCAATGTACATGGAAGATACTGTAAGGCCAGGTCCCAAATTTGCACAATAAAACAACATGCTGGAGCGATAGAGGAAAGGCAGAATAGAGTCGGTGGAGAGTAGAGGTGCCATAGGTACATTCAGAGAGCACTGTATTCAGGTCAGAGGTCCACGGTGTTACCGCCTCACTTGCCCAGTAACCGGGTTCTTTATTTTCAAACACTGTATGGGGCTTTAGTGCCTCTTAGTTGATCACACCCTGAGTCACTGGTTAATTATCAATGATTGGCAGTAATACCTAACCGTGAAAGAAAAAAAGGGGTAAACAATAACCAGAACCTTCACCAAGTGTACTTATATATATATATATATATATATATATATATATATATATATATATATATATATATATATATATATATATATATATATATATATATATATATATATATTTTACACTGCGTGTGTCACTTTCGCACAGGATACTTAATTAATATAATAAATTCTGAAATTCTTATTTTCCCTGCGAGTCCACTTTATCTTCTATTATACGTCACTCATGTTTTATGGCGCTCACACTGGCGAGTTCACCGTACTCAGTAAAACATGTACCAGTCCTACACAATATCACCTACACGGTGTCTAAAACACCACGTCAACTCTTCGGCGACACGCTGGCGGAAGCCTCTGGGTGAACTGATTCATATTGACCAAGATACTCTCCACATCACTTCTGCGGACAAAAATATCATTAGTACGACAGAAACTACACATGGATCAAATACTATGACAGCCTTCCACCGGGGGAGCAGAAATTGTGGTCGGGTGCACTCAATAGATGGCGTCGATATCGTCACACCTCGCTCCACATATGGCGTCCATTTCGTCACACACGGCTATTTATTACCTACTAAGCAAACATAAGAAATTTTGCCGGTACAAACGTGGAAGTGTTCAAGAGAAAATTAGAAACATTCCTGCAAGAAGTGCTGGTCCAAAAGGGTTGTACTGGACATGTGGGCCGCCCCGAGCCTGTTGGACTAAGCTCTCACGAGTCAGGCCTGGGCCCGGGCCGGGCTTGAGGGAGTAGAACAACTCCCAAAGCTCACGCCATGTTATGTCTGACATGGAAAGTAATTACATAACCCAGCCCACGCTTATGGAATGAAAGTGACGGCGTTTGAATCCGTCTTGGACTCTTATCGAGTTGTGACATGTGACGACCTATCAGAAACGTTACTGTGACATTTTCTCTGCATAGAGAAGATATATGTTTTGCAACCTGTCCTCAGGGAGGAAATCCGCTCATGGGAATGGATTGAGAACGACTACATAATTAGTGCTATTATCCACTCTATCCATGGTTAAGTTAGGGTTCATTGCACTGATGTGAAATATGAAATTCGAAAATTATTTCAGTGTACCTGCGAATTCCGTTTACAGATAACCAAATTCTCCAAAGAAAAGTTTTCAGCGTGTACTTTTAATATTTTAATCCAACGATTTATTATACAATAAAGTTATAACTTGAGAATAAAATCTATTTAGCACAAAGGTTCACTTGCCAGTTTACATATAGACCATTACTGAAACCATAAACCATAGCTTTCAGACCATCACAAATATCTAGATCCAGGGTGGTTTGAGGGAGAGGTGTGGTTTCTCATGGCAATGAGAACAAGATAAATACACAAGATGTACTTGTGTACATCTTGTGTACTTCCACAAGTGTACAAGATGTACTTGTGTACATCTTGTGTACTTCCACAAGTGTACTTGTGTGGAGATGTATATCTTGTACATCTCCACCCCTTTTTTAAAGGGCCTGAGAAAGAAGGCAGCAACCAAAAATAACCTTTTATTAGGCCTAGTATGGTACATATATATGTACTCTACCTATACGTATAGCAGGTAAACAGTAAATTAGGTCAAAGTGTGCGTGCGTTAAGCCTAACATTACTTATTTAGGGCCCCAAGACAGGCTTCTGGTTACTCTGTTCCACTTTACTGGTATTGCGCTTCAATATTCGAATAGCGCAAAATGTGAACTTTTTAGTACAACAGTCCATATCCTGTACATTCCATCCATAGTAGCTACAAGTTGCATTATTTCTGAAGGATGGGTTGGAATAATGGTCCATATATATATTCGTAAAGCAGACTAAGTTGTTCACAACTTAGTCTGCTGTGACACCCCTGGACTTTATAATATACAAATGCAATCAGGAAATTAACTGAACATAATTTATAATAATATTTTACCTCTCCAGCACTATGCAGTGGACAGTATATATTCATAAGGTCGCGGTGCCCGTATGTCTGGATCAAATTAATATACTTGAAGGCATGATATCTCGGTTACCAAGAGACAATAGTTTACGTGTATATTGTGACGGGTTGGTGACGGAAGATGGCAGCGCAGGTGTGGTCTGAAAAGCGAATACGCTGAGTATGGAACTGTGGAGAGGAAAATTGAACTTGGACTTGGTAATTATATTTCATCTACACAAACTGAACTGTAGACCATTCTCGCTGATTTGGAGGAAGTACGTCAAGACGAAAAAGATGTTTTCGTAGTTGTCGATAGCCGAAGAGCACTTGATTCATTAAACAGTCGAAATCCAGTCTTCATGTCCATATTTGAGGATTGTAAGAAAAGTACAAATGAGATAACGCTTAAAGGTCACAAATCCACATTCATGTGGATTCATTCCATCTCATCTCATGTTGGAATAGTGCCCAACGAGGTGACGGATGAGCTGGCCAAATGCGCCACTACATGATCACAAGTTGACATTGAATGTGTTTTAACCATGAGACAAATAAAAAGCAAAATAAGACATAAGCAGCCATAGGCGGAAGTGACGAGAAGAGATATAATATATGAGAGAAGTCACACCATGCAACACTTCGTGAAAGACAACAACAATTTCACTTTCAGTCAAAGGAAGACTGCTTGGAGTGTTTACACGTGTGGGTCAGGCTTGGTTACCAATGCAGTACTACTGGGAATATTGGACAGGTGTTAGTGATAATGACATCAAGTGTAAACTATGTGGTGTGTTAAGGTCTCACACCCTCACCCAGTATGATCTTGATTGCCCGCTGATTAATGTATATAGGCGTACTGAGATAAGGACTGTTCCTGAACAAATAGCCTGGATGTGCCACAACGGAAATATTGATGATATTCTGGAGAGATAAAAGAACTTTGCAGAAAGATTGTAAAATTTTGTTGATGTCTGAACGTCTACTTGTAGCCTCTCTATTGCTACTTATGTCTATGGACTTAGTCACAAAAGTTTGTGTTTTGTGACGTTTAAATATATATAAACACGTATTGAACGAGGTAAGAACAGCTTGGGCTACCTGGAGAGGGATTTGGGATTTCTTCTACTCCCCGAGCCCGGCCTAAGGTCAGACTCGACTTGTGAAAAAATTACATCCACTTGCCTTCAGGGAGGATCGAACTCCCGGCCTCTGGTTTACTAGACCAGCGCTCTAGCCACTGAGCTATGAAGGCTCTTATTCTTTCGTGTGCATTTATACCTCAAACTTATTTCAATTTCAGATTCATTTAGTGTACTTGCGACAAGATCAGACTCACACTTATCACTCAGCATCTGCTTAGAAGTGGAGCACTATCAGATAGAGGATTACCACACAATCAGGACGAAATACGCAGTAATTATTAATAAATATATATTTTAATTCAAGTGGTTTCGAGGATCGATGTCTCCAGTCAGTGAGGCTTTCAAACGTCGCTGTAATTATTTGGAAATAAAGCAATTGAATTATTGAACAAATTACGTCCATATTACCCCCCCCCTTCCCCGCTCCTGTGCCAGTTAAGTCTACTACGGGCTCACCATAGCCGTGCTACTACTGTTCAGAGTAGCTGAATCTAAAACAACAACAACAACGTCTATTTTACCAGGTAACATAGATGTAAGATCTCTGGATTGTTTTAAGCGTAGGATTAAAAAAGAAGAGGGATGTTTTTGCACAAGTTCACTTTGTTTCACGGGATTCTCAATTTAACGTTTCAACATCGTTTAAAGTGTTTTAACAATCTATTGACTGCTGCTCCTCAGTTTATTCGTACGTATAAACAGTTATGGCGCTTATATCGATCTGAAGTTGGAACTCAGTACAACGGTATTCAGCAGTACTTGTATGGTGCCAGGTGCTTGGTATTGTATTATCAACAGTAAAGGTGTATGCTAGTGACGTTCTCAAGGTAATCAGTGACCTGTTGAAAACTGGGTCAAGGCTAGAATATACTAGATTAATGACAGCAGAACACTATCACTGACATACTATTACTGATAGCACTATAGACAGCACTATCACTGTTCGTAGGTGTCCTTGTACTCTCAGATTCCACCGTGCATAGACCTAGAGACAGGCATTACTAATATTACCCATATATTTATTTGCGTGCACCACCTCAATCGACTTGAGAATGGTTCAGGACGGACCGAAACGTCGTCGTCCCTTTACCTTCTAGTGTGTGGTCTGATCAACATATGATTGATAAAGATTAAGCCACCCAAAAGGTGGCACGGGCATGAATAGCCCGTAAGTGGTGGCCCTTTTGAGCCATTACCAGTATCAAGAGCTGATACTGGAGATCTGTGGAGGTGCGACTGCACCCTGCGTGACGGGAGATGTCTCCCGTGTCTGATCATCATATATTTATTAATGAGTTATAAGGTACTGTTTTACTTGTGTAATTTTACTTTGATGTATAATTTGTCGGTTTCAGGCGAGTTTCGCCGATGACGGTGGGAGCAGTCTACGAGACGGGAACCCGCGAGCAGTGCGTCGGACCCACAGTGATGTAGGGGGCACTGGAGGCCGCAGTTGTCTCCACTACTCACGACAGTTGTCTACTCCTCAGCCTATCAAGATCCGACCAGCCCATAGACTTCCCCAACACACTGCTTCTTTACACCGGTCTAAAAGGTAAGCCTCCTTATCAAGCAGTTTTGTTTTGTGTAATCCCACATGTCTTTGTAAATACCTTAGTATTACATTTATCATTTATATAATTCATTTCTATAATGAAATTAACTCTTAGTTTACCCCATGTTTTCTCGATTTGATGATTGTCCAGTGCGGACCGAAACATCGTTGTTGTTTCTTCATTTTCAGATTTGTGGGTTCATTATCAACATTTCTCTCACACACCTGCCGGGCTGTCTTACCCTGTCCTGTTTATCACTCCTGTCTCTGATCCACATCCTGTTTTTATGTAGTGTGATTTGTTCAGTTTGTCTAATATTACAGATTCAGTTTGTTCTTCTATATATGTCAAAAGATAGCCAACAGGGCAAATTTACGCGTAATTCTATTTTCATTACAATATACTCATAACAATTCAATTTCTTTCTTTATTATGCACCCCATACCCATCCCGTGGGCGGTGGTGTAATGGATTACAGAGGCACATAATCGGTTCAGGAACTGAACCCTCTAGTTCGTTTAGCTAAGCAAATAACAATGTTTGACGCTAGTTACAAAAACAAACGAAATTATCTGTATGTCTTATGAAAACACTGAGTTTCACACTTATAATGTCTGGGTTTATTGACCAATTGTCTAGTGACAATGTTGCATATTCATCATGTGCGAGCAGGTTAAGTACTTCGTTCGGCTGCGTTCTCGACTCAATCGGAGATCCCGGGTTCGATTCCCGAGTGGGACAGAAATGATTGGGAACTTTTCCTTTCACCTAATGCATCTGTTTACTTAGCAGTAAATAGATACGGGAGTTGAGCAGCTGTTGTGAGGTTGCACCCTGGAGAGGGTCAATAGTTTAACCTCGGGGCAACCTCGATACAAGCCTAAAGTATCAATATGACGGAGCCCGTCCTCAGAGCAAATCTATTACTATGACAAACTACACACCTCCCTCGAATAACCTGGATAGTTATCTAGATATTTGTGATGCTCTGAAAGCATATTACAGATCCAGTAATATGCAGGCGATGAGTCACAATAACGTGGTTAAAGTATATTGACCAGACCACACACTAGAAGGTGAAGCGACGACGACGTTTCGGTCCGTCCTGGACCATTCTCAAGTTGATTGAGAATGTCAATCGGCCAAGTCAATCGACTTGAGAATGGTCCAGGACGGACCGAAACGTCGTCGTCCCTTCACCTTCTAGTGTGTGGTCTGGTCAACAGATCCAGTAATAGTCTACATGTAACCTGGCAACTAAACGTTTGTCCTAAACAGTGATTATTCTCAAGTTAGAACTTATTGTATTATAAATCGTTAATATAAAATATGAAAAGAATATGCTGAAAATGATTTTTTTGAAAAATTTGATTTTCTGTAAACGGAATTATCGGGTACAATGAAATATTTTCGAATTCCATATTTCACACTATCGTCAATAATACACTGTTAACGTAACCAACGTTATTAAATCTAACCAAACCCTAACCTAACCATGTATAGAGCGTAGATAATAATACGAATTATGAATTCATTCTCATTCCATTCCCGTAACCGTATTTTCTTCATGAGAACAAACAGGTTGCATGACTTCGGGCTAGGCTCTTCCAGGCGGTGGCTAATCCTAAAATTCATCAAAATTAATGTGCTGCATATTCTAAATTTGTATTTTCTTAAAAATGTTAGGTAATATCATTGCATACTAGAATGTGCTGAATGATTAGGCCTAACTTAGGTGGTTAGGTTCTGTTTGCAGGTATTGGTATGTGCAGTCAACCCGTTCTCGCAAATTTAATAAGTCAATATTGACTTATTAAATATGTGCATAGGTGATATACTAAACATAATAGATACCCTTAAAAAGATTCATAGAAAACACCGACCTTACCTAACCTTGTTAGTATCTTAAGATAAGCATCTTATTGCTTCGTAATTACAATTATTACCTAACCTATAATAGGTATAGGTTAAGTAATAATTGTAATTACGAAGCAATAAGATGCTTATCTTAAGATACTAACAAGGTTAGGTAAGGTCGGTGTTTTCTATGAATCTTTTTAAGGGTATCTATTATGTTTAGTATATCACCTATGCACGTAGTTAATAAGTCAATATTGACTTTACGAATTTGCGAGAACGGGTGTGCAGTACGTGGGTGAAACATTTATAGAGGTGAGATTCGAGCAGAGGACGTGAATGAAGCCCAGCTCGAGGAAAATACATACGTCATCAGTTGTTATTCCTGTGTAGCCAGGCTCAATATATTTAGAAACAAGTTATAAAACACTCTTATATACAATGAAACACCGCTATGTGCAATGGAATATAATGAGAACATTTTGCGAATGTAAAGCACTTATTGTCTCGACTCCTCATTCATACTCGCTTTAATCTGCCGTGATTGTCACAAAGCTTGTTACCGTGCTGAGGTCCACAGCTGTGTAATTGGTGTGAATAATCTCCAGCACTACCCTGCATCAGACATTAATATTGTGCGGCCGGTGAATCACTATTGAATATTTGTTGTAATTAATTGCAGTCGATATGGAAAAAAAGAGGCAAGTGTGGTATTTGTTAGCGGTATATATATATATATATATATATATATATATATATATATACTTTATATATATAATATATACTTTATATATATTTTAATGATTAAAAAACACATGCCTTACAACAGCTCATAACAGAATATTGTGTTTTTCTTCAGCCTTAAAAGAAGCAAAGGGTCTTCACATTTACGTCGTTCAATTAGTCAACCTTTAGACTTGGACAAGGCGTATGAGAGCCCCAGCTCGCACAAGTGCACCAGCCCCACACACGCGCACAATAGGCGACAACGACGACCCTCGGCCGGAAACATTCTCAATGACGACATCATCACTTCCGAAGATGAGATTGGAATCTCTGATTCAGAGGATTTCAGAACTGATTTGAAGAGAAGTTTAGATGAGGTAAGAGTATATTGTTTATAATTGTGTTAACATTGTTCTTGGCTAGGGGCACCTTGAATAGCCTCACTACAGGCTTTCTCTCTCTTACGTAATGATATTCTAATGTGAACAGATATGATAGTTGTACCGAAATGGATTTGTAAAAGTTAATCATGAAAGGAAGAAGTTAACTATTTCACTTCCTATTGCATGACTAATATATTATCTCATGCTGTCACCTGCGATGATTTGCTATCTAGTTTGATTATCAAAAGTTATTTATTTAAATAGTGGATTTTTTTTTTTAAGTAAGAGTTTGATATGAGTTTATATTCAGTATCTAATAAACAGTACTGCATATACTAAGACAATTTTAGATGCAGAATTATTTAGTTTCATAAAACTAAAAATATATATTTTTAGGATACAGCATTTCATAAACAAAGGAGTAATATTTTGGAGAAAGTACAACGCAGAACGACGAAAATCATCCCAAAACTAGGGGTTTTGGGATGATTTTGGGAGAGGCTAACACCCAAAAACTGGGGCTCGCCTCTCCCAACTTAACAAGTTGAATTGTGTTGGGAGTGTAGTAAGCCACTTGAGGTCGGCTCCACTGCCACATTTGTGTTGTTAAATGTCGGCCCCCATTATGAAGTCTGAAATTCAATCAGATGTGTTTTCCATAGTGCTGAAGTTACTGTACAACTGCTGTTTACCTGTGCAATTTCAGGATTTATTTGAAAGCAATGAATCAAATTAATTTGGGTTACAAAAAAAGGTATTAGTGAAGATTGTATGAAGTTAAGCTGCAAGATAATGTGGAGACAGGACAATGAGGGATGAGTGGATGATATATCAGTTATAAGTTATAACTGACAATAAAAAGACAACCAATACTTTATATTTTACATCGGTGTTCACACTAGGAACATCAAACATCCCAACACCCGCACAGATGTCTGAAGCAGAAGAGAATCGAGTTAAGGGATAGCCTCATTACATGCAAAATAATCAGGAAGAGCATTGATAAATTAAAAGAATCAGAAGCTTGAGGTGTGGCTAGAATTCAATCTGAAATCATAAAGATACTGGCCAATGAACTATCTACCACTGAAAGCTTTAGACCCAGGGAAAGTCCCCTAGATTAGAAATATGCAACTGTTGCCCATATCTTTAAGACTGGCATTAAAAATTCTGCAGATAGACCAGTCAGCCTAATGTCACATACCTAGACACGTGAAGAAAACCAGAAAGGAGAAAATCATTCATCTTGGTGCACACTCGAGTAAAAGCAATAAACATAGTTTTGTAAAAAAAAAAAGCCCTTCCTAACTAATATGCTTAAATTTATTTAAACAGTAACCAATTATTCATATAAGACTTCCAATTGATGTACAGTACCTGTAGTATGAATGGACTTCTCTAACGTTTTGATTAGATACCGCATGAAAGACTGCCACAAAAACTGCAAGAACATGGAATAAACAGAAAAATACTAGGCAACCCAATAGTTAAAATGAAGAAAGCAAAGAGTCAACTTAAATGGAAATTAAAGTGACTGGGAATTTTTTTTGTATTGCAAGGTTCCATCTTTGGGACAACAACATAGAAGATAACATAATAATGAACTCTCCAAATGCTCAGAAAACTGACAAATGCTTTTCAGCATTGATGAATTGCAGTAAATTGTGGCAAATTTGCCTGCATCCCTAACATCTAGCATGTTTGCTAAAATTCTGCAATATTTAGTTAGTTTTATGTACTTATCAAATTGAAGGAATTATTAATATAAAAAATGTTCAACATAACTTCATTTTGGTTTTATCCTGTATGTATAAGAACAGGAGGGACTTGTCTCCATGATTGCTGTTTCTTATTTGCTAAGACAAGTTAAGTGGGTTATATCAATCTCTTAGTCCTCAAAAAATGCATCAATCCAGCCTAACTTTTTAATCAGTTGAAAATGGAGGCGACTGAAAAAATGAAATTAGTTTCAGATATTCAGTAAGGGATCAAGAAAAGATTAGTATATAATATTTTCTCGTATGTATTGTTTATATTGAAACTGTATCTTTTATTAAACTACTTCAAATCATTCTTAATACTGTGTGCTTAATATTTTCTTATCATAAGCATAATTGATGAAACATTTGCCACAATGTATTTAATGTAACTATACATGTACAGTACTACAGAAGCATAATTGTTATATAGTAACATAACACTACTTTTGTCATATCGAATTTCAGAAACATAAAGTAGCTTATTTACCTTGGGTAAAGATTAGAATTCATTGCGATAAATAATTTATACTTTGACCGATGGTAATGTAACTTGTGTTAATTGACTCTGAAATAGGCCTTTTGAGTAAAATAGTTTTGAAAGAGGTAATTGATCTAAAGAGAGATTGTATACAGTATTTTGTTAATTTTTACTAGTTTAAATTCAGGATACGAACAATGGATTATGCATTTACAGTACATGTTTTAGTGATTAATTGGTACATTTTTGCAAAGCCACTAATACACACAGCATTTCAAGCAAGTCTTAAATCCCTAATGTGAGTTAGGACCCGAGGTTTGTGAATCATAGAGCCTGGTGTGGTACCCAATGTCTGGAGGTTTCTAGGTGGGTACCTTGGGAGCTACCAGGTGGGGGGGAAGATACTCCCAGGAGGAGAAATAATTACTCAGGTTCAGTTGTTCTTTAGTTGTATTGTTACTGAGAAAATGTTGAACCTCGTGTACTGTAAATGGATTACAGTGTATATAATTCCTGCTGAAGTGTAAAACTTTCAACAATTAGGAAGTGAAAGAATCTGTGACTTTTCAGACTGTAGGCTGGCTATATGTAAAAAGAGGCCTACCAGCTATATTTTTTACTTTAAATACTTAAATGCTGTGCATATTTACTGTTCATACAGGCCATAATTTGTTTCCAAATGCCTGTAATGAATACATCACTAATAATGTTTGCATAAAAGACCTTACTGAAATTTGTTTACTTTTTCAGGATGACGACATGATCGTTTATGCAGAAGCTCTCTGGGACCATGTGACATTAGACTCTGAGGAGCTTGTATTCAAGGCTGGTGACCTGATCACAGTAATAGATTCAAGTGATAAAGACTGGTGGTGGGGTCGAATAAGTCACAGGGTTGGATGGTTCCCAGCTGCCTTTGTACGGGTAAGTCAGTTTTTTTTTCACTTCACTTGTTGACCTCATCCAGAATATTGGTGGATAGCTATTGTAATGTTAAATAGGAAATAAGATTAATTTTACTTCAAGTGTCTACCACATTGACAATACAGTGCATGGAACATGCTAAAAATGATCTTGAATAGAACAAAATCAGGTTGTCAAGTGCGTCTATATATCTTTTGATGCCTTGCCTTGCTTCTTTTGGGAACTTAAGTTTCTTAGCCTTTAGATGGCGGCTTACAGTGTATAAATATGATGAATGAAGGTTCATCTGAAGTACCTGTGGCTTGTCATACAACTTTCCCTTTTATAATTTAGGCAAATTGTGTTTTTTAAATTTGTGTACCTGTAATTATCAAGATTTCTTAACTCTTGGTAATTACTGTATAGTGTTTGAAGTGTATAATGTTATAGAGTCATCAGTGTTTGAACATTCTTACATATTGTATTGCAGACATTTGAAGAAGCTCTTGAGAGTCAATGTAGATCATATTAATATAATTTTTAAGCAATGTTGCTGTGAATATTAGTACAATAGTACAATTCAGTAAATGGAGATTCATATATATACACTTGCTTGAACCAACTAGAATTTGTAATTAAAAAGAAAGATGCCCAATAAAATTTCACAATTGTTTTCAGATACTTGTGAATCAAGAAGATCATCAAAATTCCAGAAGTCATGATGATACAAGAATTCTGGGGCCAGTTAGAAAGCTCAGCGTCTCTGGTTTGTCGCATGATCAAATCCGAACCAATGTCATAAATGAAATCATATCGACTGAGCGTGATTTTGTAAAACATTTAAGAGATGTTGTTAAGGTACAGTAAGATGTCTTATTATCTGTTAATTATAAGTGTTTATAAATTAAAGTACAATAGTTAGAATGGGAAAATCAGAATCCTTGTAATAATAATTATTCCATTGCTGTAATGCATTTTAATAGTACTTTACATTTGTTTTTTGTTTTTATCCAGGGATACTTGCGGCAAGTTCGAAAGAGACCAGATATGTTCAGTGATGAAAGAATATCCACCATCTTTGGTAACATGGAGGCCTTGTATCAGTTCCAGAGCAACTTCCTTAGAGAACTAGAATTGTGTATAGATTGGCAAGACCCCCACAAGTCTTGCATTGGTGCTGCCTTCATTCGCAATGTGAGTTAAATTAATTAAAATAATGTTATTCAGAAATGTCAAAAGGCCAGTTAGTCACTGGTTACTTCACAATGCCCAGGATTCCATAAAGTCCTCAAAGGTTTAAATTGATGGTTTTAGCAATCAGGAAACACAGACAGAAATACTGTACAATAAACAATTTCAAAACAAACTGAGAGAGGATATGAAATTTCAGGGCTGAATTAATGCATAGGCAAACACAATGCATACCAGAGGTTCATAGTTTAGTTAGTGTTTACTTGTGCTTTTTTACATATATTTGACATTATAAACATTGCATAACTAGATGTGGGGTGAACACACAAAGGTAATTAGGCGAGGTTTTCCCGGGTCACACATCTCTGGATACTAACAGAGTCGTTCAGTAAATATGGTATAATGACTACATAGTGCATATTTTACATAATCATTCTTAGTGAATCACAAATGTTAAACTGTAACATATTCCATAAAGAATTAAACTTCTAATATTTTGTGTTTTTACTTAAAAATAAATTTCCTATTCCAGAGAGAGAAATTTGAAATATACAGTGAATATTGCAATAATCACCCTGCTGCAATGTCATCACTACAAGAACTTTACCAGCACCAAAAATACATTCATTTTTTTGAGGCTTGTCGACTTCTGCAAGAAATGATTGACATATCTTTGGATGGGTTTCTACTAACTCCAGTGCAGAAAATCTGCAAATATCCTCTTCAACTGCAAGAACTGTTGAAGTATACAAAGGTATACTATAATAAATGCTTACTGTAAAATGTATGTACAGTATTTTTAGACTGGAGCCTAGTGCTGGAACCTCTTAGCCACTTGGCACAAAATTTAAATACTGTGCCTGTGTATTTCAGAATATGACTAATTTATATGCAGTTGTTTGTCAGTCAGTTATCTTCCAGGTATGAATTATTGGGGCAGTTGTATCAAACTTTTCATGTAATATATTAAGAAAAGGATATACAGGTAGAAATATTAATTTACATCCAGATTTTAATATACTGTACTGTAATTTTAATATCTATTTCTTGATAAAAAGACAAAACCAGCTCATCTAGATTCTGAACTATTAAACTATATGTTACTTCTGATACAAAGCATAATTATATTTAAATATATGTTTTTTCCTGTTCATTTTAGCCTGATCATCCAGACTATACCAGCGTTCAAGGAGCATTGGAAGCCATGCGTGATGTGGCCCTTCTTGTTAACGAGCGAAAACGGCGTATGGAATGTTTAGAGAAGATTGCATCGTGGCAGATTACTGTCGAAGGTTGGGAGGTGAGCAATGAACCTGAAAAAGATGTGATGGTCTAAAATGTTAACCAGATTATATCATTTACTGTCATCATTTGGTCTGGTCATTAACTAGCTTGGTGACCTTGACATGCCAAACAGGTTCCCAATATCCAACATTGGAAAACTATGATAAAATGTTTAAGTTTAATAAATATTTATTCTTGTATAGGGGCCTGAGCTGCTTGAAGATAGCTCGCAGCTGATCTACCAGGGAGAGGTTACCAAAGGAGCTGGTGGATCCTGGCCTAAAGAAGTGACTCTTTTCTTATTTGATCATCAGCTTGTATATTGCAAGCGAGACCTTCTCAAGCGGAATACATTTGTGTACAGAGGGAGACTGAATCTCGACATGTGTGAGATTGTTGATCTGTCAGATGGGAAAGGTATGTTTATGATAAATGTTTTATAACATGTACTGAGTTTGTAAAATAATACATAACCAAAATTTTATTTACTAATATTTACGTTTAAGAAGTAAATTAAATTTCCCAAAAGTATATTAACTACTATTTATATACAAAATTCATGTATGTAATTGCCTAAGCGTAGTTACAGGATGAGAGCTACGCTCATGGTGGTCCGTCTTCCCAGGATTGTCGTATAACACTTTGAAACTACTAATGGGTTTGACCTCTACTTCTTTCTCACTCTACTCATTTCAACCGTCTACCACTCTGGGAAAATGAATTTTCTTATATTTCTTTGGCAGCTTTGTTTAGTTTAAATCTAGTGCATAAAGATAGAATATTTATAGCATTTATAAGGAAATCAATTTTCCATATATAAATGCAGAACTGATGTTAAAATACATACATGTAACACAATGAAGGAGTGATAATTTATTATTTACTAGGTTTCCTAGATTTAGGCAAGATGAAGTTAAATTACATATTGTATACAGTATTTAACAGCTTCATGGAGATCATTGCATAGTTTTATTTACTTACATACAAACTGGGCCAGACTCTGAAGTACTGTGCTGGGATTATTTCAAAGCAGCACTGTATACAAATATTTTATTATGAAGTCAAAGTGTTCATCACTTCACCAGGAAAATTTGAACATTTCTCCAAGTGGTGGCAGGTGAGAGAGGCTGTGATGGTTGCATTAGCCTAGCAACAATATCCTGGCTGATCATGATCCTCCAGGGAAGGCTGGGCCGAGGCAAGGGTTGAAAGTTGATTTTTCAATATCATAAAGTTATCTACAGTCAAATGACTAAATGTATGAGCTGTTTCAAACCTTTTCCATTATTTATTTAATCACGCCCATTCCTCACCGTGACAGAAGCATTTCCCCATCTATAAAACATCAATTCTATGCGTGGAAGTCATACCAGTCGTGTGGGTAAAAATCTGTTAAATTATCTGCTATTATTTCATGGACGCATTGAAGTAGGTTGTTGAATCACAAATATTTGCTTTGTACATACATCTTGTGAAAATTGTTTAACCTTTGATGGTTATTTAAGGTGTATAGTATTTATTGAAAAGCATTTAATACAGTACATGTAGTAACTCTCACAAATTCTTTGAAGTAGCCAGCAACTGCTAGGTTGCAACTCGCCACTATAAATTTTAATTTGTATAATTATGTAACTATTTCATTTATTAATGTTCAGGCTTTGCGTATTAGAACTGCAGATGGTGTGTGTCAGGTACACTCACTTTTTAATACAAAATGTTACAAATTCAGTCCTGAGGGTTTGGATTAACCCACTAGGATTCAGAAATACAGTCTGCAAAGGGTTAACAAAGTTCTTCCAATTTCAGACTCCAGCCTAAACATCAGTGTTCATAATGCCTGGAAGATCCATAGTCTTGAAAAGAACAAGTGGTATGTTTTTTCATGTAAAACTGCTGCAGAAAAACATAAATGGATGGAGGCCTTCAGGTAAGGGAGCTTTAACATGTATGTTGATGGTAAATGCTGTAAATAAATACTTTTATAATACATAAAGTACATAATGTGTATACAGTATGTAACTCTTCCATGACACACTATTGTTTACAAGTTTTACATCATAATTTCCTTACAATAATTTATGGTTACAGAAGAGAACGTGAATTAGTAGCTGCAGATGAACGCGCAGGATTTGTTGTGGCAGACAAAGCTAAACATCTTGCTAAAGTTGCTGCTCGCAACCAAAGGAACAGGCCGAAGAGACCGCGGAGTGAGTAATCAAGCTTGAATTTGTTAGTTTTATTTACATTTTTGCATAGGCTGCGGAAAGACAACTGTTGTATTTTCCGATTAAGGCCCTCTTGGTCGTTTCCTTGAGTTATGGCATTAGGTCCACCAAAATCACAGCAGCATGCCAGGCTTTGAGTCCTACAGAGATAAGGTACTCTTGCAAATTCATTCCATAGTCAGAGGGAAAGAAGCAGTGGAAGGGCATACCTCAATCTGCTTCCAAGGACACTGCTCACTATAAGACAAAAAACATATCAAACCACTTGACATCACCTCCAAATGATCATTGGAATCTTATTTTATAGTCGAGAATTGTTTTGAAATTCGCATAAGGATCTCCTATTCTCTACACTTCCTGCCACCCTTTTACTGCTTAGTCTTGAGACAGTCTGTTTAAGGGGGTTCCATGCTTCATGGCATAGTGCCAAATTATTTTATGTACTGTATGTTTAAAATATACAGATTGCCTCGGATTGGTTTCAGGGTTTTCTATTCTGGAGCAGATTGTGAGAACGACCAAATATATCTCTGAGGCTGTTCAATGAAGTTTGGACTTCTACCTTGGCAATCATAAGGTTTATTTGCAGAAATGTTCGTTATGGGGTTTCATGAGCACTTTTTGTATTGGGGGTTTTGCCTAGGGTTTATTTTTTAATTCACTGTTTTAGTGGTCCCTCAGTTTTGGAGGCGGCCTCCATTTTCCCCACCTGCGTTGTTCGGTGGGGATTGTAACTTATCCTATTCCAGTGACTAGTTCTACTTCCCCACTTCATGTGAGGAACATCAGTACATTATCTGCTGGCTCCCATGTGGGCTGTAGATTGTCCTTGTGAATGCCTGTTTTGCCTTGGGCAATTTGTTTCCTTAACTTTGTGTGCACATATTCTCAAAATTAAAGAGTTATGTGGTTGCCCACAAATGTTACTTGTTAGGGCTTTGTTTGATGTTCTAGCCCCAAAGATGTGTGTCCTGACCTCTTGGTCCCTGATGTCTGGTTGTTGGTCTTGGTGCCCCTGGTTGCACCTGGATTCCTGGGCGTGGTGGCCTCGTTATGTGCTTCTTGCACGTAGAACCCTTGGCTGTCTGCCCAGGGTCTCCTGGTTGTGTGCTTTGGAGACCATGTTTGGTTGCCTTGCTGCTGGACTGCTTGTCTTGAACTGATCTCCTTGCTCTGTGTTCAAAATGTTTGCTCTGGCTCTGCATGCTTAGGACTTCTGGGTTTTGTGCCTGGACATAGGGCCATGGGGGAGGTTTAGTTGTTCATTTGTTGGGAATTGTATTCAGCTGATGTACCAGAGTTGTAGCTTTATTCCAAGCTTGTATTCTGTTAATATATTTATTTATTATATATAATATATATATTCTTTCAAGGTTCAGGCTTTTCAGACCTAGTTTATTAACCATCATATGTTATTGCACTGTTTTTAGGCTCATCTTTCCTAGTTACTGTGTAAGATGGTCCGGTTGAGCCTGCCAGATATTTGCCAATGTGGGCATGACTTGAAATACAGTATGTATCACTTCGTCTTCTCCCAAGATTAGGGTCTGGACTTTGATATTGCAACAGCACCTGTGCCTCCAGTTTCTGACTGGACCTTCCTTGTCCCAACTGCAGGCGAGCCTGTTTCACCTGCAGGCTGCTCCAAGCAACAGTCTGTTGAACCACATTTTATCACACGTCAAGCCTGCCCTGGGGTTAGGCTTGGTGAGTAAAGAACTCTTGGAACACATTCCAGGTACAATCTAGGTGTCTGTTGTCTGTGGATACAGTCATCTTTTCCTCCAGGTCTTCTTTACCTTCTGCTGCTTTAAGGGTATCACCACTCCATACTAAGCACCCACTGAAATTACAGCACATGCCTACCTCATAGTACAGCAAGTCCTTGAGTTAAGGAAATATCCCATAACAATGTGTATATACAGTCGTAGGCTTTGCAAAGCCATGATTTTATATTTAGGGCTGGTATACACCTACTTCATGTAAATGCGTGAATGAAACATTATCCCAAATCAAATAATGTGTTAGTAGTTACATGTTCGTACAGTACAGTACACCTCAGTTGTTTCCATGGCCCTGTTTTCACCCAAACCAATGTTATTACACAATAGCCTGAGCAACTTTGAACTCCACTTATGTAAGTAACCTTGCAAAATATCTATTCTAGCAGTAATGGAAGAAGCAGCAGTACAAAGCATACATCAATCCATCAATGGCACTACTGCACATTATGACACCAAATAACATGTCCAACAACTCGATAATCTTTCAAAATACTCATTTGTATCCGTGATATAACCAAAAATCTTTCTAAAACTTCATAATTAGTAACTGCCCATTACCCTGACCACCACCAGATAGCAGCACTAGCTAGTTTGATTGGGTCTAGGGAGGTAGCATTCCTCACTTCCTCAAGTACAATCCACCCAAGCAAACTCGTGAAAATGAAGAATAGAAACCAACCATGGTGCCACTTGGCACTTCTTTCACTCAATGCTTGATTTTTTGGAGCAAGGCCCACCCTCTCACCCCAGTTTCTCAATTGAACCACCTACTTACTGTGAAAATTTATAGCTTGAACAAATTAAACCATAGGAACTTGCACGATAATCATCAAAGGCACTTTACCATGCCTCAAAAGTATTCCTGGATATTCACTTTCACTACAAAATGTTTTCTACCAAGATTCGAATCGCTAGCAGCTATATATTTTATGCAAAGCTTTGTGTGTGTTGCTTGGAATAAAAGATTTAGCAATAAGACAGTAGGTACATACTGTATACTCTACTGAGCTAAATCTTTGTTCAAGTCTTGGAAGTGACAATTAATTTCTGCAGATAATAGAATGTACAGAAACTTTCAAAGATTCTGCACTTCAGCTTTGTTTTTATTTGATACCAAGGCACCTACAATTCTGGAAGAAAAGTGTGTGAACTTCCCGGGAAAACTTTCTGATCCTTAATTTTCCACTTTTTCTCATTTGAATAAAAAACATTAAAATTTAACAGTGATTGCTAAAGATGCAGGCATCTTTTGTGCTGATTGTTCTCTCAATTGGTTTTTCTATGCACAGAAATTATGGAAAATCCAGTTAATTTTCTCAGTCCTTTTGTCACTCGGCTTGGCACCATTCCTTTCCTTTTTCCTAAACCCTTATCCTCACATCCTTTCAAAGGGCTTATACAGCCATAAAGGGGTAGTGCTTTCTCTTAATAATTTACTTGCCTCAGTCCTACTCAGCCAGTGAGACTATCTCATGCTCAATGCCATTGAGAACTAGTACAACATAATGTACTGCATGCTCTCAGCCAATGAGGTAGTATTTATTGTGGCATATTATACTTTCTCAGTGAGTGCTTTCCACAGTGTGCTTGCCAATGGGTTATATTTATTGTAGTCCGTGCCATTTTATTTGTATTCTAGGGATTAGTTATTACCCACATTGGCTGGTAAATAGCATGCGAATGGCAGTGCTGGTGGTGCTGCAAAAGTGGCAAAGTATCATGCGTGATGTTAAAATGCATGTTAGTGTTTTGTATTTTAGTATCATGTTAATATCTTTGGAAACCATGTCTTGTTGGCAGAAACCTTAGGTTTAATGCTAGGGATGGTGTGGCCCTATACACTTGTGAAAAAGGTTTTCGGCCTTTTATGTTGTATGTAGTAGTAGTTGCAGTTTTGCCTCATAGGACAAGGTCTGGGCAGATGCCCACCACAAAAAAACAGGAGTGACTTCCTAGCCAGCCTATTTAACTTGGGCTTGTGTATATACATAAAGTTAACCATGTAGTATTTAGATATCCAAATGTATTTCCATTTATGCATGTGTAGATACACATTAATACCTGCCATGAATAAGTTACATATTTGGTTCTGTAGGCAGCAATGTGGCTGCTGCCCTTGCATTGTGAGCTTTTCCTCACTTGTTTCATCTTGTTTCCCAAGTGTTGCATCTGGGTGTGTTGGCCCTTATTCTGCCTAACAGGGAATGGTACTTTGGAGATGTTTTGGGTACCATTAGCTTGTTTAGAAGATCCTCTCGCTCTTTCTCATCTTGGTGTTGACTTTTTATGGGGGTTTGGTACCCACTTTTCCTGGGGCATGCATCTTTGCATTTTTCTGTCCCCTGTTCTAAACCTGTCTTCCTTGCTGACCATGGTCTCCTGTCATGTCAACCCTTTCTATCTTTGTTCTGTTATTCTGTTGTGAATACAGTGTACACTATGGAGTCCTTGTGGGGCTAGTCCAGAAATCAAATGATTGTTTACCATTGGCAAACTAGTTTGCTTTGTTTTTTGTTTCTTGATTAAAGATATTTTTTCTTTACCTGAACTTTCTGGGCATTTTTCATGGTTTTGGTCAACCTTTTATCCCCATGCTCCACTTGCTTTGAGGATCACACCAGACTGTTTCTAGTGTTAAGTTGGCTTGCACAAGTAAAGATGTCGAAGTATTTATTAATGTTCATGATCTCAGAGTGAAGTGCACCATGGAACTTCCAAGGTTGGAAGCTTTCTCCCAGAAAGCATTTCATTACATTCAACACTTGATTTTTATGCCACTTGCTAAACCTGTAATTTGAGTTGTGTATGCATGTAAAGTTGTTCAGTCTGTTGAAAATTTAGGTTACTTGTGTTGGACCATGTTAGGGGTATATTTGTTTTTCAAGGACACAAGATTGGTATATCAAACTTTCTAAGATTGAATATTTAGTGTTTTTCTCAGATTGTTTCACCATATATCTGCATTGTAAATCACATGAAGCAACCTGAAATAGCTTGGCATGTTTTCTCACAGCAACCAAATCGCACAAGCGTGTACAGGCCATGACGTACGCTCAGGCTGAACTTCTAGTCAATGTTGATCCTGAAATTCGCTCCAATAGCCTTCCCTCAGGTGTTCAGCCACCCGAGGGCAAAAAGAAAGGCAAGTGGGATGAACTTGCCTCAAGTTAGATTAGACCTTTGATCAGCTTACAGAAGCCATTATTGTATATAAAAATGGCTATGGTGATGGTAGCACTTAAACACCTTTGACAATTGATGCTTTTATGAAGCTTTAGTGAGCAGTTACTTTAGTTGGCAAACTGGAGAAAATCTTTTAACAAGCATGAGTTGTTTGTGTACATAATATACTTCCTTAGTACCGTAGTATTGGTAACCTATGTTCAAGAGTTCTTTTCCTTTCCTTCAGACTGCTTAAATTCTTCCGACTAGTTACTGGATGACGGTATTTGTTCAACTGACCATTAGTGCCAGGTGTGGTGGTGGTTTATCAATAATGAAGCTTTATGTAGTCATTTATATGTTGTTAATGCATTTAATATTCATTCTTATAATTTGTATTTTACTGCTGTTTGCACTAAGTTTTTAAGAGCTATTCAAACCAAACAAAAACGGGAAAGTAAATTTTGTTTACCGAGCCTTTTATGGTACTGTACATTATATAAAGTATGAATAAAGTATTTGAGTATTTTATTCAGTAATGAACACAAACTAGTAATTTTTTCATGCAGAATATGTTGTTCATTCTTAAATCTGCCACAACTAAATAAATAATTTAATTTACTTGTGTAATTTTAGGTCTGTGGTTCAGCTTTGGAGGTCATAAAAAGGGCAGAGGATCAGGACGAAATGTGACACAAATTCAGCATCACCCAGTGTGAAGTCAGCCTGATATTCTTTGTGGTAAATCTCATCATAAAGGCTGAAGGTCATCAGCTTCAATACAAGCTATTTAACACTCACGCATTGCCAGTGACTGGAATATTAAAGTGATTTTGGGGATTGTGTATGTTCATGTTTTATTGATCTTATGACTGTTAACTATGATGTTAAGATTAATGAACAAACCAGTATGAGTCGGCTTTGTAAGGTATGGCAATTCCTTACATCTTGGCACAATTGAAGATGTGCTGAGACTGATTTCATAATTGATACATATCCAACCAAAGCTGAAATGTTTTATCTTTAATGTGTTTTTTGAGAATATTTTAAAGTTTATGATAAAAACATATGTTGGAGGAGTCTAGTCATCTTCTGAATGTTTTGTAAGCAGTCTTGAATTTGATTTGAAGAATGAAATGAAAGGTTAAACTTTTCATGTAATTTATGCATCTTTTATTTATTTTATTTTTTTATAAAGAGGAAAGGACATTTTTATTTATGCCACCTGCTGGTTTAGGTAGCAACAAGTCTCATATCATGAAATTTTCATGTAAAAAAAAAATGAATTTCCAAGTGTGTTCAGTGGAATTACAATATGGTGTCGCTAGATAGGTTTTTATCAAGTGCCATTTTTTTTTAAATCTGGATATAGAAATGCTGTACATGTTTAGACAAAATTTATTTTATTGTAAAATTGTTCCTACAGTACAGTACAGTATATGATTTCCACATTGACAATGAAAGCTGGTTTTACTCCTAATCAGTGTTGTAAAGATATTTTTTCTTTAATGTATTAATCCTCAGGTTCTTTGAAGAATAAATAGTTACTTCATGTGTTAAAAATATAGTTAAACTAAAGATGTTTTGATCTGTGCAAATGTCAGCTATATGTGCCGTGTGTCAAGATTTGTACTACTGTATTTTTATCACTTTTTGGAGGTGTTCAGCTGTTTATTAATTTAAAGTTCACTTGAGCTATTGCATAATGTGGCATATTTGATTTACTAAGACTGGTTTAATATTTTAAACTCCAATTGTTTAAATGCCTTACTCTAAAGCTTGATATATTATTGAATTATAACTGAAAGACCAACAAACATTTGCACGATCTTTCACTGATTGTGTATATTATTTTACCTTGTTTTTATTAAAAATTATAGTTTATCTTTGTACAGATATAAATATATGTAATTGTTGTAAAAATGTATATAGAACAAAATATTTCTTTGAAATTTTTTTTAATTTTCCCCCTCATGTTTCTTGCTTAACTAAAATGTTGAATTATAAAAGGTAGTGGAAGCAAATTTGACTCTTATAATATTTAAAATAAGAAATGGCCAGTATTGGATTTAGACTGCCACATGATGCAAAGGGTCAAGACTCCATAGCCATGAGGGCACTGCACGTCTCACTTAGGCAAAGAAACATCGATGTAAAGAAAGCAGTTGACCAAGCGCATACAAAAGTTCTGCCATGAAGATGCTGATCTCCAAAGGTAGGTGGCACACACGTCTGATCAGGAAAACAAGAAGCCAACATAGTTTGGCAACCTAAACCTAACCTAACCTCACCTACCCTACCCTAACCTAACCTACCCTAACCTGACCTGACCTTTTTAGGCCAAAATTGGGCTACTTTCGCTACTTTTTAGGTCAAAGTCGGGCTACTTTCGCTACTTTTTAGGCCAAAATTGGGCTACTTTCGCTACTTTTTAGGACAATTGGGCTACTTTCGCTACTTTTTAGGTCAAAGTCGGGCTACTTTCACTACTTTTTAGGCCAAAATTGGGCTACTTTCGCTACTTTTTAGGCCAAAATTGGGCTACTTTCGCTACTTTTTAGGCCAAAATTGGCCTACTTTCGCTACTTTTTAGGCCAAAATTAGGCTACTTTCGCTACTTTTTAGGCCAAAATTGGGCTACTTTCGCTACTTTTTAGGCCAAAATTGGGCTACTTTCGCTACTTTTTAGGCCAAAATTGGGCTACTTTCGCAACGTTTTAGGCCAAAATTGGGCTACTTTCGCTACTTTTTAGGCCAAAATTGGGCTACTTTCGCTACTTTTTAGGCCAAAATTGGGCTACTTTCGCAACGTTTTAGGCCAAAATTGGGCTACTTTCGCTACGTTTTAGGCCAAAGTTGGGCTACTTTCGCAACGTTTTAGGCCAAAGTTGGGCTACCTTCGCTACTTTTTAGGCCAAAGTTGGGCTACCTTCGCTACTCTTTAGGCCAAAGTTGGGCTACTTTTGCTACTTTTTAGGCCAAAGTTGGGCTACTTTTGCTACATTTTAGGCCAAAGTTGGATTACTTTCGCAACTTTTTAGGACAAAATTGGGCTACTTTCGCTACTTTTTAGGCCAAAATTGGGCTACTTTCGCAACGTTTTAGGCCAAAATTGGGCTACTTTCGCTACTTTTTAGGCCAAAATTGGACTACTTTCGCAACGTTTTAGGCCAAAATTGGGCTACCTTCGCTACTTTTTAGGCCAAAGTTGGGCTACTTTTTAGGACAGTTGGGCTACTTTCGCTACTTTTTAGGCCAAAGTTGGGCTACTTTCGCTACTTTTTAGGCCAAAATTGGGCTACTTTCGCTACTTTTTAGGCCAAAATTGGGCTACTTTCGCTACTTTTTAGGCCAAAATTGGGCTACTTTCGCTACTTTTTAGGCCAAAATTGGGCTACTTTCGCTACTTTTTGGGCCAAAATTGGGCTACTTTCGCTACTTTTTGGGCCAAAATTGGGCTACTTTCGCTACTTTTTAGGCCAAAATTGGGCTACTTTCGCAACGTTTTAGGCCAAAATTTCGCTATTTTCGCTACTTTTTAGGCCAAAATTGGGCTACTTTCGCAACGTTTTAGGCCAAAGTTGGGCTACCTTCGCTACTTTTTAGGCCAAAGTTGGGCTACCTTCGCTACTCTTTAGGCCAAAGTTGGGCTACTTTCGCTACTCTTTAGGCCAAAGTTGGGCTACTTTTGCTACTCTTTAGGCCAAAGTTGGGCTACTTTCGCTACTCTTTAGGCCAAAGTTGGGCTACTTTCGCTACTCTTTAAGCCAAAGTTGGGCTACTTTCGCAACTTTTTAGGACAAAATTGGGCTACTTTCGCTACTTTTTAGGCCAAAATTGGGCTACTTTCGCTACTTTTTAGGCCAAAATTGGGCTACTTTCGCTACTTTTTAGGCCAAAGTTGGGCTACTTTCGCTACTTTTTAGGCCAAAGTTGGGCTACTTTCGCTACTTTTTAGGCCAAAATTGGGCTACTTTTTAGGACAAAATTGGGCTACTTTCGCTACTTTTTAGGCCAAAGTTGGGCTACTTTCGCTACTTTTTAGGCCAAAATTGGGCTACTTTCGCTACTTTTTAGGCCAAAATTGGGCTACTTTCGCTACTTTTTAGGCCAAAATTGGGCTACTTTTTAGGCCAAAATTGGGCTACTTTCGCTACTTTTTAGACCAAAATTGGCCTACTTTCGCTACTTTTTAGGCCAAAATTGGGCTACTTTTGCTACTTTTCAGGCCAAAATTGTGCTACTTTCGCTACTTTTTGGGCCAAAGTTGGGCTACTTTCGCTACTTTTTAGGCCAAAATTGGGCTACTTTCGCTACTTTTTAGGACAAAATTGGGCTACTTTCGCTACTTTTTATGCCAGAGTTGGGCTACTTTCGCTACTTTTTAGGCCAAAATTAGCCTACTTTCGCTACTTTTTACGCCAAAATTGGGCTACTTTCACTACTTTTTATGCCAAAATTGGGCTACTTTCGCTACTTTTTGGGCCAAAATTGGGCTACTTTCGCTACTTTTTGGGCCAAAATTGGGCTACTTTCGCTACTTTTTAGGCCAAAATTGGGCTACTTTCGCAACGTTTTAGGCCAAAATTTCGCTATTTTCGCTACTTTTTTGGCCAAAATTGGGCTACTTTCGCTACTTTTTAGGCCAAAATTGGGCTACTTTCGCAACGTTTTAGGCCAAAATTTCGCTATTTTCGCTACTTTTTAGGCCAAAATTGGGCTACTTTCGCAACGTTTTAGGCCAAAGTTGGGCTACCTTCTCTACTTTTTAGGCCAAAGTTGGGCTACCTTCGCTACTCTTTAGGCCAAAGTTGGGCTACTTTCGCTACTCTTTAGGCCAAAGTTGGGCTACTTTTGCTACTCTTTAGGCCAAAGTTGGGCTACTTTCGCTACTCTTTAGGCCAAAGTTGGGCTACTTTCGCTACTCTTTAGGCCAAAGTTGGGCTACTTTCGCAACTTTTTAGGACAATTGGGCTACTTTCGCTACTTTTTAGGCCAAAATTGGGCTACTTTCGCTACTTTTTAGGCCAAAATTGGGCTACTTTCGCTACTTTTTAGGCCAAAGTTGGGCTACTTTCGCTACTTTTTAGGCCAAAGTTGGGCTACTTTCGCTACTTTTTAGGCCAAAATTGGGCTACTTTCGCTACTTTTTAGGCCAAAATTGGGCTACTTTCGCTACTTTTTAGGCCAAAATTGGGCTACTTTCGCTACTTTTTAGGCCAAAATTGGCCTACTTTCGCTACTTTTTAGGCCAAAATTGGGCTACTTTCGCAACGTTTTAGGCCAAAATTGGGCTACTTTCGCAACGTTTTAGGCCAAAATTGGGCTATTTTCGCTACGTTTTAGGCCAAAATTGGGCTACTTTCGCAACGTTTTAGGCCAAAGTTGGGCTACCTTTGCTACTTTTTAGGCCAAAGTTGGGCTACCTTTGCTACTTTTTAGGCCAAAGTTGGGCTACCTTTGCTACTTTTTAGGCCAAAGTTGGGCTACCTTCGCTACTTTTTAGGCCAAAGTTGGGCTACTTTCGCTACATTTTAGGCCAAAGTTGGGCTACTTTCGCTACTTTTTAGGCCAAAGTTGGGCTACTTTCCCTACTTTTTAGGCCAAAATTGGGCTACTTTTTAGGCCAAAATTGGGCTACTTTCGCTACTTTTTAGACCAAAATTGGGCTACTTTCGCTACTTTTTAGGCCAAAATTGGGCTACTTTCGCTACTTTTTAGGCCAAAATTGGGCTACTTTCGCTACTTTTTAGGCCAAAATTGGGCTACTTTCGCTACTTTTTAGGCCAAAATTGGGCTACTTTCTCTACTTTTTAGGCCAAAGTTGGCCTACTTTCGCTACTTTTTAGGCCAAAGTTGGGCTACTTTCGCAACGTTTTAGGCCAAAATTGGGCTACTTTCGCAACGTTTTAGGCCAAAGTTGGGCTACTTTCGCTACTTTTTAGGCCAAAGTTGGGCTACTTTCGCTACTTTTTAGGCCAAAGTTGGGCTACTTTCGCTACTTTTTAGGCCAAAGTTGGGCTACTTTCGCTACTTTTTAGGCCAAAATTGGGCTACTTTCGCAACGTTTTAGGCCAAAGTTGGGCTACTTTCGCTACTTTTTAGGCCAAAGTTGGGCTACTTTTGCTACTTTTTAGGCCAAAATTGGGCTACTTTTTAGGCCAAAATTGGGCTACTTTCGCTACTTTTTAGGCCAAAATTGGGCTACTTTCGCTACTTTTTAGGTCAAAGTTGGGCTACTTTCGCAACTTTTTAGGCCAAAATTGGGCTACTTTCGCTACTTTTTAGGCCAAAATTGGGCTACTTTCGCTACTTTTTAGGCCAAAATTGGGCTACTTTCGCTACTTTTTAGGCCAAAATTGGGCTACTTTCGCTACTTTTTAGGCCAAAATTGGGCTACTTTCGCTACTTTTTAGGCCAAAATTGGGCTACTTTCGCTACTTTTTAGGCCAAAGTTGGGCTACTTTCGCTACTTTTTAGGCCAAAGTTGGGCTACTTTCGCTACTTTTTAGGCCAAAGTTGGGCTACTTTTGCAACTTTTTAGGCCAAAATTGGGCTACTTTCGGTACTTTTTAGGCCAAAATTGGGCTACTTTCGCTACTTTTTAGGCCACAATTGGGCTACTTTTTAGGCCAAAATTGGGCTACTTTCGCTACTTTTTAGGCCAAAATTGGGCTACTTTCGCTGCTTTTTAGGTCAAAATTGGGCTACTTTCGCTACGTTTTAGGCCAAAATTGGGCTACTTTCGCTACTTTTTAGGCCAAAATTGGGCTACTTTCGCTACTTTTTAGGCCAAAATTTGGCTACTTTCGCTACTTTTTAGGCCAAAATTGGGCTACTTTCACTACTTTTTAGGCCAAAATTGGGCTACTTTCGCTACTTTGTAGCCCAAAATTGGGCTACTTTCGCTACTTTTTAAGCCAAAATTGGGCTACTTTCGCTATTTTTTAGG